TTTTTTCCACTTGCAGCCGCCGCGGGTTTTGCAGCATGTCACCGCAGTCAAGTGAGAAACTCTTTTGTTCAAACACCTACAAATTTGCGGACTCTCCACCTTGCCGTTCTCTCACCTTCCTTCTCGACGTGGGAATTGAGTTAACAGCAAACCAATGTCAGAGTGTGTGTGTGTCACTCGCTGTTCCAAAGGATATACAGCATCACTCTAGTTCTCCCGAGTACCTTTCATTAATGCAGGATTATCAGGGGGACAGAGCTCTCTGATGCTACTCTGTCCAATGACACTTGCCTGTGCTTTGATTGGAACTGTTGCTCAAGCTGTTACCCCAATCCCCTGCCTGTATACAAATGGCTCAAGGTCTAATTTGCGGTATTGTAAAGTGCTAATTTCAGGAGACCGGTAATGGAATAACTAGATCGGTGAGTTGTTAACTGATGCTATGCTCTCCTGAGCCCTCTCTCTAAGTGTGTGTGTGTGTGGGTGTCCAACCATGTTTCCAGGGGCTTTCACACAAGAGACTTTAGGCCGTTGGTGCAGCACAAGGGCGTAGCGTTTTCAGATGACTACGCCCAACGAACCTAGTCTGAACACGGGAAACCAGGATTGGCCATCCTGGTGTACCTGCACCTTTCCACTGAGGTGTGATGCAGAAGCAGTTACATGTTGTTCTCAGCCCTTTATAAGGTCTGTTTTTCAGTTGCAGGTCGTCTCTGCACTAGACTGGTCATGCATTGAAAGTGGGCCAATGTAGAACGGATGAACATCGGATTGTGTTCATGCGAGCTCTCTTCCAAGTGTGTGTGTGTGTCTAACAATATTATGAAACCATAGTTGCCGTATTACCTCTCTATATATATGTGTATACGCTTGTATACTTGTAATGTGTGTAAATAAATATATATAATATGCAAATATACATGCACTTTACTATATTGTGCCAGCACCCAGCAATGGTGGCAACAATGTTTTTTTGGTTGGGTGTTTGCATGGCTTGGCTCGAAACTGTTTCACGTATTTGCAGGAATGATGGTTCACACGACTGGGCTGCCCATGTTGATGGGTTGGCACGACCTCATTGCATCACAATACGGTTGCCCCCCCATCATTCCATCTCAGATTGTTCTTTCACTTGAGGCATATTACTTTATCATTATTGCGAAGGGATTTCAGTTCAGGTTGCAGTTATAAGCAAGTTGCATCCCAGGCGTTTGTGCTGGTCCGGCGGACCGCACGTTTGTGGACTGCACTATTGTCATTGGCTTCAAGCGCTGGAGGGTTAGCCCTGCATATCAAACTATTTGTTGTTGTGAAAGGCTGCTCAACTGCTAGGCACTTTCCATTTTTGCATCAACCCTGAATTGCAGGAATGGTGTAACCCCACTTCGCGACCATGCAGACCGGGCCATCCACACGGCTAGCAGCCCAGTTGTTTCGGTGCGAGGCAATGATAATCAGAGCCGCAGGCCACGGATCCTGGGACATCTGTATAGCCCTAGGTACGGCAGCGGTTGCATTTGGAGCTGGACGATGCATCAGCAGCTGCCGAGATTACTGCAGAAGTTTCATGCTTAGTCTGAACGTTCGGAGAAGTCACAAAGGCTAGTTCAGCTAAGCACAGAGTGAACAGGAGGTTTCGCGTCGCCTTGGGCGATCAGAATGAGCGGTATGCCAATTGCTCCCAACAGCAGTTGCATTTGTCATCGCGCCAAGTTCCTCTCCATTCATGTAATTGGCTTGGGACCGAAAAGCTTCGGCGTCCCGTTTGACATCAGGTGGAGCAGAATGCTGTTGCGATGCTTCCCATAATCTACGACAAACTGCACCAGGCAGCTAAAGAGTGTTGATTGTTCCTGAGGGGAAAAAATCACACAATGGCATTCAGGGCATGTATGTAGACCGTTTTGCAAAAATATTGCACTGATGCAAGGCTGGACTTTTTTGGCACTGAGACTGCCTGCAGGTCAGGCTGTGTCGAGCAAGCAGTGGTTATATATAGAATACGTCAATGTTTTCCTTTAATAAGCTCCCGAAAAGGCTGCTTGCAGACAAATTGTTTGCGGAATGTCAAAGATACATTCCAAATTCCATTGGCTTTAGCTAGCCAAGTTAACGAACGAGTTTGCCACAGAGCGAGTAGTGTCGTGCACTGCAATGCACATGGCAAATTGTTTCACGTCTTGTTTAGAGAAAGCGCGAGTGCGTGATTGGTTCAAAGGCGCTCTTTTCCTTGGGCACAACAGCATCAGCACACCTGTTTTGCCGACAAATCTTGTCATCAAGAGCATTAAGCGCCATCAAGTGCAATGATACTTGTTTGCCAGTATGCTCATCTAAAGAACAGTGTATGGCTAATGCGGCTAAATATGGCCGCAAGAGAGAGCTAAGACAATCATTCAGCAATCCAGAGCAATCACAGACGCAGGCAGAGGGCTTTCCTTTCACGAGAAGTCATGGTTGCAGAAATGCTGATATTAGGAAAAAAATACGACATACAGTACACAAGGACTTTGCAGGCAGCCTGCCTTGCAGTCAAAGTTGGATCAATGGATGACGATGATGATGACGTTCCGCCACTGGAGGCAACTCGCAGCAGGTGTGATACAAAGGTGAGAGAGAGGGAGGAAACAGCAAGAGTCGCAGAAAAGCAGGTTCTAGAAAGACCGAAGGATGAGGGCGAGAGACAGACAAACTGTGATAGCATAGAAGAAAAGAATGAAGTGGCAGAAGCTATGATGCAGCGCGCTTTGGCAGCGCGGGAGCAGAAGAAAAGGGACACAGAAGAATCCAGAAAAAAAGCTGACGGATTCGGAGGAGGCCTAAAGAAGGGCTTTTTGTCTTCCAAGCCCAAGGCCAGCCAAACTGGAGACTTCCTGCACGAAGCAACGAACGACAAACGCGTTGCACTGATCAATGGCGGAAGTTCTTGAATCTTGTTCAAGCAGAAGTTGGTTTGCATTGAATGCCTTGCTTTGCTTGGGGTAGGCCTCAAAGAGCACGAAAGAAAAAGTTAGTAAAGAAGATCCGGTAAAAGAGGCCTGTTGTTTGACCATCGCATTGGGCCATATTTCGTCGTGAGACCGATCGTTTTGGAAGGTTCCTTTCATCACTGGTGCTGGCTCCAAAGAGGCAAAGTTTGCAGGGTTCAAGTTTACAACTCTGATCCTGATTGCATGTGCTTGGAAGTGTATTCTTAATACTTCTTCATGAATCTGCTTCCATTCGGGGAGGAGGCCAAGCGAATGAGCTTGCAGATGCCAGAGGTGCGTGTGTCGACGATTCCTCATCTCTAAGGTTTGAGCACTCCATTCTTCAGCTTAGGTTCAGCAAGCAATGCAAGGAATGGAAAAGCTTAAAGAGGATCAGGCCATGTTATCAAGGTTGTATATATAGCGCCACTGTTCTTCGATCCGTCCTTAATTTCCTTTGAGCTGATGGAATTGCTTGGATTTATATAGTTGAATGCCTTTCGCGACATGTTCCGATCTCATGGGCAGTCTTGGGTGACACCTCAGCTGATGGCAGCTTTGCAGTCGCGCCCAGATCTGTTGAAGGCGAGGACGTGAGCAAATGATTCAAACGAACACCACTTTGGACGTAAATGGGTCCCTGATGTACAGTAAGTTGTCTCACATTTGTTGTCTTGCTTTCGCAGTCACTCTCGGATCCCAAGATTCAGGAGGCGGGCTTGTATTCTGCGAGAGCAATATCATCAATTGCATAGCTTCTTGAATGCTGAGTCAGACATGAGGAAAACAGTCAAGATACTGTCCTGTGAGCTTTATGGGCCATACAAAGACACACCATAGCTAGTTGTTCCCTGTCACAGCTTGTAATATATTGAAAAATATTGAAAAATATATAATACCATGGAAAGCTCCTAGAATGAAATGCCGAGGCCATGAAGCTAATGCAAACTGCTCCAGGCGAAGCACAGCGCAGGCGGAATACAGTTTTGAGCATATATGCACTACGACATGCACATATACAGTAAGTGCGTTTATGCATTCGGCCGGCCATGTTCACCAAACTCACTGTCTCAGGTATCAAGACAATGCTGAAGTCACACAGTTTCTCAAGGACGTCACTTCAGACATCGCAGACATGTTCGCACTCGTGTTTGACAAGCTGTGCTTTGTCAGGACTTCAGTGCTTTGATGGCCACACACTTTGATGTATTGAGCAAGGAGGTGCCAGCTCAATCTGTGTCATGGAAGTGAGGAGTTGGTAGATAAAGTGATTTCAGCAGGCACCTGGTGCAAAGCCACAAGCAGGGTATGCCAAGATGCCAGCACCGCCAGCACCGCCAGCACCGCAGCTTTCCCTCAGACTCGGTGTCAATTTCGTGACAGCCAGTGCAAGGCCAAAGCAGCCGGTTGCACAGAGCCGTGCTCAGCCTGCTGTTCAGGCCCTGCAAACATATTTGTTTAAGGTCTCTGTTCTCGTTTCTCATTGCATCACAATGTGCTTCACATTGCACATGGCACTCACACGACACCATATAACACCTGCCCCTGCAACTAGTGCAGCCGACTTTCCGATCCTGAATGAAGGGACTGATGCCAATAGAACCAGCACGTTGGGGTAGATGGAGACAACCCACATCCTCCATGCAGTAGTATTACTGTAGTCTCCAGCTATGCTGTGTTTTACTCTATATAGTACCACCCCAAAGGCACACAAGTGCCAAATCACCGGTGCAAAAGTATACCTTGCACAAGACGACTTGCTGAATGCATGAATCATGAACGTGAACACGAAACAGCAAGTGCGGATAACTCATGCATGTGGATTGCACAGGCGCTGCAAAAGCGGTTAGCGGCGTCACCCCAGGATATATTTTGCCAAATCCTTTTTTGGATCAGTTTGATTTGCTCGTCCAAGATGGAGAAATATTGCCTTGGATGAGTTTGCAAACAGAAAATAGGAAGGCATTAAGGCAATGGATCCTGACTGCTTGTTCCTTGGTTGAGTTCGGAGATAGGATATCAAGCAGATTGAGCACAAGACTTCGCCCTTGTGACACACAAGCTACAGTGACCTGTTTTGGTCCACTAGGCCACTAGGCAACTCACCACTTTGAGCCACTTGTAGGCACTGTTGTTTTTGGCTCGCGGCTGATACGCGATGATACGCCGCACTTGCGCCTGTCATGTACATCGTTGTTCGGTTGTCGGGGGGGTGGAGTGGGTGAGTGGGTGGGTGGGGGGTGGGTAGGTAATGATGTGCTTGTAGCAATGTAAGGATGCAGTCAGTCATATTGTACCTCATTGTGCTTTCCTTTGTGTATTGTATACTACGTGCTTCTTTCAAATACATTTGCTTCTATGCAAAATCCAAATCTACTGTGCATAAATACAAATAGACAATCCAGGTAATGACCTTCAAGTCGAAGCAAAGTACTTTTCCGCTGGTTTCTCAAGTGAAAGAAACTTGCGAGTTGCAAAGTGTGGCGAATTACAGTAAGAAGCAGTAAGAACAATTATCATGCAAAAAACTCTCGGCTGAACTTTTGGATGACAGCAGATCACTTATCATCAGACCTTCAAAAACATTTCTCCGAACCTTTTTCTCACACTTAGCTACTAACAAAAATGAGCGCTTCGCTGTAGCGAAACGCTCGACACAAGCATCTTCCTTGGGAAAACGCGCCGGCAAAGACACTTCTAAAACAAGTCTATTGTAAATACCAACAAACAATCCACAAACAAGAAAGCAACCAAACAAAACAAGCATTGGCGGCGTATCATTATCAGACGCGTCCCTTGTTTTTGACAAAGCAGTGTCCTCCGTCTTGGCACGTTTTGTGGAATGTGACTCACATACCAACAGAAAAGGGGTATACAGTAAGAAAAGCGATTTGCAGTAGTTGAAAATAAAAGGCATTTTGCAATTGCAGTGACCAGACCGAAAGAAAAAGCTGGTGTTTGACAACCACATCCAACACCTCAGGTTCAGGGTGCCCAGCAAGGATTGGACCCAGCGGCTAGGATTTGTTGCACTCTTTCCTTTTGCCCACACACCCAGAACGTGTTAAACAGTGTAAGACAGTCAGGCCCATCCTCGTGCGCATACAGGACGATAATTACGGAACTTGGGAATGCTGAGGACTACAGCACAGTGCACGAGGGGTCGTGATGGATTGTGAATAATTGTGAGCACCGAGACGCCATCCTCCTCGCGGGCAACAAGTCACAGAAGCCATAGCTGCTGTGTCCGGTAGTCAGCCCCTGTTGTGCCACGCCTATTTGATCCTATTTGCATTTCTTGTTTGGTCCTACATTTGTGGAGTTGTGGCCCTGGGTGATCCAGCTCCAAGGCCATATGGCGGCCATAGGTTAGGATCCTATCCGGAAGGGTGAAAGTATTTGCTGAGATTCACGCTAAGACGCAGGTTGATCTATCGTGGAGAAATAGTAAGAAGTGATCAAAAGAGTTGATTACACACGTCTCACTTTGTGGCTGTTACGAATCGTCGCATGCAAAAATTATAGCCTTCCGCAACAGTAGAATTGATACAGTTATAAGTTATATGGGCTTGGAGGCATTGCCAACCGATGATCCGAAGGTGGCTGCTGCCTTTCAGGACTGCCTCAAGGGCGCATTCTTTTCAGCAGAATCAGTCATTGCAGTCGACCATATGTTGGCGTTTGCTTAGTGGCAGACGAAAGCCAGAGGATCCTGAGGTCCAAGAATTGCTGGCTGAATTGTATGCTGGCAAACCTTTGGAGATGCACGCCAGTTCCTCAGAAGGTGAGTGAAGGACAAGTCTGCTTTAAGACGGTTCAACATGGGAAAGAATCTGAAAGAACACACATAGATCATACTTCTCCCAGATGTTGAGTTGGAATATTGATTTGACATGGGTTGATCTTTACGAGAGAGAGAGAGAGAGCACTTCTTTGTGAACCCTACACAGCCACGACAACGCTTTCCCGGTTCACAAGGGAGTTCTAGTTGCGGAGTTTCCACCCTAGAATAAGTTGAAGCTCCGCGGGAATTCTATGGGGAGTTGAAGCTCGGTGTGGAGAGGCAAACCTAGGCAAGCTCGCATAGGTTTCCTGCTGATCGCCAGCCACCACAGGAAGTTCGAATGCACAGACTTGCAAAGGATGCACATGAGGGATCATGAGGGAATAGTTTCAAAATATGAATAGAACAGCAGCAAGACCGCACTTACATTTGCACTACCACAAATGTCACTGTGGTCTTCATACAACCACATATCAGATCATATTGTTGCAGACCAAGGAGCTTTGTCAGCAACGTCCAAACCTTTTCCACAAGGCACAGCGGACCCAATTTGATTTGCGCCTCGCGGGGGTGGTGGACCTTGTAGGTCAAGATTTTGCTTGACTCTGGCTTGTTGGCGCTTCAGCCGGAGCCTTGGCATGTCTTTCCGGTGGATCAGTCAGTTTCCACCCTGAACCGAGGCGGTAGTTTGAGGTGGAAGACTCGATGTCATTGCATGTTTTGTATTTTTGTGCATGCAAAAGCAAAAGATGCTTGCATGTGCACAGAATTGCATCAGCATAAATGCAGGGGAGTCTCACTCTCAGCTGCATTTGCAGCTTGTGTACAGCCACAAAGATCCGAGGAAGGTATCGAAAAACCAATGCATCGACTGTCCGGGAGTGCCTTTGAGAGTCATGTCATGTTGCACAATTGACAATTGAGGTATATACAATTGAGGAAGCAGAACAACCGAAGCGTCTTCTGGCACAGAGTAGGAATGGAAGTGACAATAAGAGGGGGAAATGGCAAACGGAGGACTATGTGGACAAACAAATTTCCAGACAGTATTCTCACTTATATTACTCAGCTTATGCCACTGCATTTATCCATCTTGGAGAGCAAAGCAGAGGGAAGCTACGCAGTAACGTTGAGCCCCGCAATGTGTACCTGACATGTTGAGGGTGCATCACGTGTCCCAAGAGATCGAGACATACTTCCATCAAGTGTCAATCCAAAGAGCGTCTTTTTTTGCCCGGGGGGCCGGGGGGGTAGGCCGAGAAGAGGTGGTAGCTAGGTAGCTAGTAACTTAAGTAGCTACTACCTAGGACGCAGGATAGCTCACGCTTCTTCAAGGAAGCTCCCCCCGCCTAAGGGCGGGGGGGGGAGCTTCCTGAAGAAGTGCTCGCACTATTCATTTGGTTGCTAGATCTTTAGATAAACTTAAGTTCCCTTGAAGTCAGTTCCGAGCACATCTTAACACGACGTGTCCTCTCAGAAAGCCCTCGACCTTGGCAGCACTTGCCAGGCTATCCAGATGCGCCCTTGGTGGCAAGCCGGTCAGCTTCGTGCTTGTGACCAGTCGCAGATAGGTGTTCTTTCTTTAAGAACCACAACTCTGAGCTGAAAGTGGTTGAATTTGTGCTTAGAATCTTAGAATGTTACAGAAAGTGGCTGAGTCTTGTGCCAAGGTACATGCAGCACATCTTGAGAGCAAAAAGCCGGCCAAGACGACCCAGGCACGAGCAATAGATTGCGAACCATTTGAGTTGCCAATCATCAAAGCATTCGAGAACGCCCACCTCCTCATCTCTCTCTCCAAAATCCAGCAGGCGCTTTGTTTCAATCCATTTAATGTTATGGTTATTCATGCTTGCAAGTCATTGCAGGCTGCGATTTGTGCTGTTGGCTGTTGTGCCTATCATTGAACCCAAACAGCAGGCATGAACCGCAACAGCCGCAAGATGGACCTCTCAGGCGTGCTACAAACACCTGAATGTGATGGGAAGCAAGATGGTTCCAAACCTACAATGCACAGCACTCGCAGAGGCTCCAAGCATTGTATTGCACTCCCCACATCAAGGTTCCCGGCAAGCTATTTGTCGGGAACCTCTGAAACTGAGTGTCAACTTACATCTTGAAGGTTTGAGAAGAGGTATATGATCGGCTTTTGCAGGTCTCATAATATCATAGTGCATGCTTTGACGAAGCCAAAGGTGTCTCCGCTGCTGGTTACCTTTGTTCCAGACCCTGATGACAAGCACGTCCAGGAGTATCACTCTAAGCCTGTCTCATGGTGCCTGTGGCATTATGTACGTCTTATATACACATGCCGGCTGTGAGGTTTGGAGGTGAACTCTACACAGTTACATTGGAGGCACTGCCAGAATTTGAGAGAAAGGAATGAAATATATGGAAAAATTATAGATAAGCCCAAGAAGAATCTCCAACAGCTGGGCATCATAATCTGCCTATGTTGCAATGGCACCCACAAGTTCACCAATAAGTGTTGTGTTTGTTTGCCAGACAATGCCGTCTTCAGATGTGTGAACCTGTTCAATGTGCCACGCGAGCATACACGGCAATACGTTGGCATGGCACATATCGTGTGAATCATGTGCCCATGTGCGCAAGCACAACAACGCCACTACAAGCAAGAACCAGCAAACCTGCTCCGGAACCCGCTCTGGAGTTTGCCAGCAAGTCAGCGCGACAGCATGACCCGACTGCGGCATCACAGCGTGACAACATGTCAGCATGATGTCTAACGTCACCCATGTCAGCGTGCCAGCATGACTACATGTCAGCATGACGCCACACAGGCGGCATATCATATCAGCACGACAACACTAATATCATGTCAGCGTATCCACACCTCAGTATGTCAGGGAGAGACCCAGCGTATCTGCAAAGTACTCCGGACATCGCTCCGGAACTTCCATCAGAACCTGCTCCAGAACCTCCGGAACCTCCACCACAACAGTTCTGGAATCTGGAACCTGCTCCGGAACCGTCGAAGCTTCTTTCGGAACCTCCGGACTTGTTCACCTGTTCGGAGTCGGCCTGCTCCAAGCTGCTCCAAAGTCTTTACTATGGCGACTCCTAAGCTTCGCTGTTGGGGAAACATGTACTGAAATGTACTGAAGGAGAAACGGTTTTACGAGATGTGCATCGTGTGATGCATTTGACGCGTGTTTGTACAGGTGCAGGATCTTTTGCAATGTGGAGGCATCACTATGCCGCAGGAGGACCACATCGTCCTGATGCCTACGGGTGAATACTATGACACGATGATCTCAGGACGGCACTGACTTGGCCTATTTCCTTCAGATGGAGGTCAGGAGAGGTTGGAAGCATCCCACCACATGTCCCCCATGCTAATTGATCAAGCATGGTCTTCTCGGAAGGACGCTAAATGGCCAGATATTCCGAACTCCAGAGGACCTTTTGCTGTTCAATTCAATGCGATAAGAATGTCCTTGTCACTGTGCCATCCAGCACGCTACTATCCCAGTGGCAGGACCAGCAGGACCCATGGTTCCTTGTCTTCCGTTTGCTGGACAAAGAGGACCTGCGTCATGCAACTTGGCAAAATGTCTGCCTGGAATATAATGACCGTTGTTATAATGTATAATCATCACCACCACCTGATACAATCTGTGTTGAATTGTTTTGTATTCTCAGTCAACTGGCAGTAACTGTCAGGCAACTGCACTTCTTTTGGAGGCCAAGCAGGCCGGGCAAGTTCCAATGATTCAATGTGCCAGATGCTCCTTAAAGCTATAAAGAACATGTTGGGATTAAACATGTTTGCCCATTCTGTATGCACTGTGTTCCTTGACACTTTGTGGCGAAAGGCCCATCCTGGTCATCATGCAGGCTGGACACAGACATCCGTGCCGTTTCCGTGTCTGGCTCTGAATGGGTGAAATGCACAAACAGAGCTATTAGGTAAATTCGATTCTATTTGCATTCCAATGCCATCATTCGAGGTTTGGATTGCATGGCAGAGCTCGAGGCGTCGCATTGCCTTGTGGGTTCTTGGGGTTGAATCGTGCTGTCCCTGCAGCATGCGGTCCACCACCACCAGCTCCAGCAACAACTGGACAAGAAGAAGGACGCTTCAAACATGCAGCGCTGGGGTCTCTTTCTGATAGTGCAGTGCTCATCAGTGCTCAAATTATAGCCTTTACAACATTTTACAACTTATGATCTAGAAAGTATGCGTGCACACCTCAACAACGCGTAGCGGCGTAGCAGCTAAGAGAAAGCTGAAACTTCAAGGGTAAGCAACAATTCGGACAGATGGTACAGGACGTTTGTAGAAGTGGACTGGAAGCAGACATTCCAAGTGGTGCAGGTGTTTAGGTGTCATGAACAGTGGCGCTGGGACAATTGAATCAAGAAGTAAGCAGACACTATTTGTTCGGATGAAACAGCAACTGTGAATCCACCCTCCAACTGGCAACCGTGTCCATTTGGGGTACGCAGCTTGAATTATCCTACACGCACTCATAGAGCACCTTAGTTGCATATTGTGCGCACTCTATTTCACATACAGTATTTCATACATTCAAGTTAGTTGTATGCAAGCACTGTGGTGCGAGATACCTGGAGCCAACAGGACCGATCGTCTTCTTCTTCTGCAGCTCGTTTGATGGGAAGCTTTGCAAACTTCCTATCAGGGTGCGCTTCATGTCACAGTTCTCAGGGGTCGTATCTTCATTTGGGTTGGAGGCCATCGCTATTAGGTTGGAGAAAGAATGAGACATTCGGTGTGCTAGGCCGCGCGACTCCAAAGCCGCTGATGCACAAGGACCTTCTCCAGCGAAACCCAGCGAAGTTGTGGAGGAAGCAGGCCGCAGACTTGCTCAGAGCAGTAAGAGTCCATCGGGCACAGGAATAGGAACCATGATGTATAAAAGCAATGAACCGATGAAAACTGGAAGCATTCGGCAACAATATGTGCCCCTTGATGCCCCTTGTAAGGCTGCCACGTTGACAAGGCCCGCTCAGTATCGTTGGATTTCCTTTGTAGAAGTAGTGCAAAGCAAATAGTGCAAAGCAAATTTCAGTTGAAACATAGCCTCAGGTGGTTTTTCAACTACCAGAAAACTGCCAACGGTCGGTGTTGAACAAAGACCTCGCGGAGCCGCACTGATGCGAAGAGAGCAGAACAGAGCGTCTCCTTTGTTGCCATGTCTGGAGTTGTCTGTTCAACTAATGTGTCATAATGTCAACGACAACGATTGTCCGTCGGTGAGGAGGCATTGTTGGACTATCTTCCTGTTGGACTCCGACTCCCTGGCCTTGTTCAGTGGGTGCTCAGATACACACCCAAGGTGCGGGGAAAGTTGGAAAAATTTGTGGCAAGCCAAGAATGAGTCCTGGACTGAAATTTGAAATGACACAAATTATACTTTGAGGTATTTGAGTCAGTTGTGTCATGCTGCAAAAGGCACACGGAGTTTCTTTAGCCACTATGTTTCGAAACCTCGCTGAGTCAGAAACTCAGACACTCAGATTGCAGTTTGCCAAGATATTGCCATTGCAGATTGCTTTGCTGGGGTGTTTGTGATAGAGGCGAAAAAAGACCATCATCATCATTCAAGACACCGAGGTAACCGGGGTGTTTTGATTGCTTTGTTGTAAATGCAAAACAACGCCTCATGAGTCCCAGTTGAGCGAGGACTACATTTTTGGTGGTTTTGCAACTTCAGCTTGGGAGCCTTGTGGAAGGCACTGAGATGTCAATACTGCAACCATTAAAACCAGTTCTCAGCTTGGCAGCAGGTTTGGAGCCGTCAAAGTTCCACCATGATATTGTAGACACACATCAATGTGCTATTATATTCGCATGATGCCAGAACTCCAATACAGGTTCTATGGCTCTGGTGAGGCATGTGGCCAAAAGCCTTTACACCATGCTTGTGTTTGCCAAGATTTGGAATGCTTCGCATTGCCAACTTGGTGGCTCGACATATTTTGTGCCTGGACACGTCCCATTCGAGGCCTTTGTTTTCTCCTTCGGCAAGGCTTCAACTTCGGAGGCACTTTGACATACGCATTGCCTTTGACTCAAGCAGCTTCTGAATACCTTTGAGAAAAATGCCCAGGGTCTTTTTCATGCAGGTTGCTCTCGTTCAATTCTTTCCATGGTCTTCTGTCAACGAGAGCGAATCCTAGATTGTTCTCTTGTGAGTTTTTCTGAGAGAAGCCAGCAACCCTTGGTGTGCACTGCAGTGGACTCAGGTGCTGCATGTATGCAGACCATAGTTTGTTTGGAATGGGTGGCGGAGAAGGAGATAAGTTTTCACGCGTGAGCTTTGGACCTTGACTGAACAATCAGCTGAGATGAGGACGGCATGCCTTTGTTGTGCAGGCTGATTTGCTGCCGAGACCTAAGCATGCCAGACAGTCAAGGCTGTGAACTTGCTGCGGTTAAAATGATGTCGGTGATGTGACATGTTGCTGAATGTTCCGCACCAGAGCTGCATTTTTTAAAGGAGAACGTAGGAACCAGTTAAAGTGAAAGGACTTTTGTATCAGTATAATTCATGTCAGATCGGGATGCAACAGAGTTCCAATCAAGCACTGAGAATTTCCGCCACATGCAGCAGAAGATTGTGCCCAGTTCACTTAGACAACCTCAAGTAGCCAAGCAGAACAGCTTGTCAGGCAAACAGGCCAAGCCTGCGATACTGTTGATGGACAAAATCCTGCACCACCTCACCACTTTACCCTGGAAGGGTCGCATAGCAACCCCCGCGTGGCCCCAATGTTGGCGCGACCCCTCTGAGGAGGTGGTGCAGGATTTTGTACCTTCAACTTGTTTTAATGTTCTCACTGTGGTGGCCCCAATGTCAGCGCGGGAGAACGAGGGCAGTAAGAAAACTGTGCGCAATGTGGTGCAGGATTTTGCCCATCAACAGTTTGGCTTCATTACTTTGCTCTACCCAGCTTGTTGTGTTACTGTAGCTTTTTGCGCCTACTTGCTGGCTGATGCCACTTGTTTGCTGCTCCGTTTGTTTTTGCTATCCTTTGTTGGTGTTTACTATACTTTGCTGTCACGTGAAAAGGGATGTTGCGGGGGAAGTACACAGTGCTCCGACAGTGCTCAGAACAGCGCTCGGATGTCAAAAACATTGAACATACCAGCGATTTGGGCAGTAGCAGTGCAAAGTGTTTGAAATTTAGAGTTCTAGGCGTTATTTGCCATTCCTGTGGCCATACCCGCCGCATTACAGCGCGGGTACTGTGCCCGTGTCACTGGCTCCACTTTTTTTTGAATACTGTGTTGGCCCTCCGCTGTCTGCTTGGCGCAAACCCTGCGTCGGGTACAGTATGTAACCAATGGGCGTTTTGCTTTGCAGCTTTGCGCTTCTGAACTTTCTGATAGTGCGAGAAATTGAATCATACTAGTATGGAGTGTAGTTTCCTGCGCTATTAAGTTTCCTGGTCTTAACCCCTCCTCTTCTCACGGCCAACCATGGCATGATGCATCAGCAGGATTTGGTTCCGCAAGTCACAAAAGGTTACGCTATGAACCGAAGGATGAAGAAGGATGAAAATGAAACAGCGTGGCCAGTGTGCCAGTGCTGTTCCTAGCAGTGTTTGTTTTGCTCTCGCTTGGTCATGGCTCTGGCCATATTGTCCATGGACGTTCTTCTGTAAGAATAACATAGAATAACCATCCATAGAATCCATACATGGTTTTTCCCTTGCCCTCAAGAAAGTGTTGGTTCCAACAACTGCTCGAAGGCTAGCAAGTGCTCTAGACTGTAGTGCTGCTGAAGTTGACCTGTGCAGTGTTTAGTGACTAGTGTTTTTTTCGACTAACCATTGCTCGAGAAATGCAGCTAGCTTGCAGACCGTGCAAAGGCAGGGACATTCATCTCCAACTCCGACATTCAAGCTTGGTCCTTGATGTGATGGTAGCAGCGGTTTTGTTTGATTTACTATAAATCTTTACCTTAGCGCGCCTGTTTGAGTTTTTGGAAGTACTGTTTTTTTTTGTATTATTTGTCCTGCATCACGTGTGGCAAGGAACTCCATCCTGGCTGCAACTGAAGAGTTTGTAGTGCGTGATATTGAAGTGCTGCTCAGCTGAATCCAGGCAAAACTTATCAGGCTTGGATAGGAGATATGAGATACGGTTTGTGCGCGGTGACTCAGTACAGTCTTCTTGAAGAGTGTTGCAGGGGCACTCATCAAGTCGTCATTGAAGCTATATTCCAAAGGAACTTCAATGTCACGCTATGGGCTGAGATCATCTGAGATCTGTAGGCAGACAAGTGTACTTTCATTGCGAGCTAGGAGGAACAGGACTTTCGCTACAGTAGTTCAAATACAGCTCGATGTAGGATTTCTGCCACAGACATTGTTGTGGTGAACAATTTCAAATCTCATTTTATTATATAGCTTGCACAATGGCAAAGCAATGCATCAAATGCATTCAAATGTCAGGTGGTCGCTAGAAGAGGTGTGAGATGCTGAACATCCTGATGAGCATGAAGCTGAACATAGCTGAACAGACGCCGTCAACGACTGACATCGCCTGCAAGGAATGAGAGATGAGATGGCAACAGTGGGACTCCTCCCAGTTTGTGCAAGCACAAACCTGGAGCTTCGATGGACATCGGACTCACCTCAGGGCGTCAGAGCGGAGAGAAGATACGCACGAGTTCGAATTGGCATTCGGCCATTGAAGAATAAGCAGACTTGTCTCTTAAATTGCGACTGTTTCCGCCTAGCTTTCTGATTTATCTTGGTGCTTCTGGCCACCTGGGTCACTTGGCATTGCTTCTGCTTGAAGCCATGGGCTCAAAAGCTGAGCTAGGAAAGCCGCTTATCCTTGGGGGGAGCGGCCAAAGCCAAAGCGGCTCTCCGGATGCTTCTCCTGTAGTCCTTTGGCTTCACGGCTTTGGGGATTCTCCAGGGGGATGGGCAACCGCTTTGCAGCCCTTCAGGACCTCAATTGATGCAGACTGGCGATGGATCCATTTGTGTGCCCCTTTGCTGCCGCAGCCGTGCTTTGCAAATCGCAAATTGAGAGCCTGGGGACAGTTCAAAACCCAAGAGCGCATTCGAGTAGGTTCCGTTGACTATGCAGATGAAGATATTGTTGGTGCATATGCGTCTTCCGTAGAAGCAGTGCTTTCAGAACTGCAGAAATTGCAAGAAAGTGTGCCTGCAAATCGTTTGCTAATCGGAGGCTTTTCCCAGGGCGCAGCTGTTGCCTTGGAGTGCGCGCTGCGACATCCACATGCTTTGGCCGGTTGCATAGTTCTGTCAGGTTGGGCAAGGCCTCCAGCAAGAGACTTGCTGGCAAGCTGCAAGCTAACAGATCAATGTCAGGGCGTGACAAAGACTCCTTTTTTGCTTTGCCATGGCGAATCTGACGACATGGTCGACATTGGTTGTGCTGAAGCTGCTGCCGAGATGTTGCGAGATGCAAATTTGCCAGTTCAGTTTCATAAGTATCCTGGACTCAAGCATGAGCCATGTCCTGATCTTCTAAATGTTGTAGTTGAATTTATGTGTAGAAATCTTGACCACCCAATTCCCAGTGTTATCAGTTGGGACAATGAAAGCGAATCAGCTTCAGAAGAAACGCTGATGTATGTTTCAAAAATCCAGTTGGAAACTCTTCAACGGCAAGCAACAGCTGGGTGCATCGACAAATCTTCCATTGAAGAGTTGCTTGATCCATCTACTTTAGCTGACACAGAAGTCCTTGTGCCAATACTTGTGCAGCCAAAAGAATTGTTGTCCACGCCACCTTCAACAGCGATCAAAGCCATCGCAGAGAGTGCCAAAGGAACACGAGAAACGAGTGGCAGTACAGGCCTTGCAGAAATAACAGTTCAAGAGTGGCGCCGCTTGCGCGACGACAGCATTGGAGAGCAAGGTGAAGAAGAGGCCTTGAGCAACGACGAAGAGACCGAAGGCGAAAGCGCTGAAAATGAGGCAGGCGGGGAATCTGACGAATCTGAACAGGAGCCACCACAGAAAAGGCCTCGAGTAGAAGCTGCTTCTAGCAGCACAGGAGCAGGACAGCCAGATCGATGATGTTTGCTGAATACTGTGCATCAAAAGGATTGTGTTTTTGGTGCTCAATCGAATCAAATCCCACCGGCTCTACACAATCCTGAACAGCAAGAATCTCCCCTGACTGATCCCTTGACTGCCTTGAGTATATAGCTGACATAATTCTGCATGCTGCCCAAATAGCCCTGTTGGCTCGAATAAGCTTTCTTGTTCAAGTGAGGAAGCTATGAGAACTGGTTTTCCTGGGTTGACGTTGTAACGATCATTTGGCCCCATACCAGTTCAATCAAATAAATAAATGCTGCTGCTACAATCATGCGTGACAGAAGGACATGTTCTTGACCACGGTTGTGGCACATCTTCCGCAAACAACATCAAACAACAGGGTGTTGTATTTATATATGTTTAATTGAAGCACATCTCTTCCCTGGCTACCTTTAGTGGAGGTCAATACATGAGCTACAAACAAAATTTGTTGATACGTGATGATACGTGTGGTGTTGTTGCACCTGTGTCAGTCCTCCAACATGTACAAGGTCTTCAGACAAATCAATGGTTCAGCACGTTCACCCACACGAATCATGTTGTTTTTTCTTGGCAAGAACATCCTAGTCCTAGTTGGAAAGTGTGTGGCATTTTGCTACAGCTGTTTACAACCAAGAGAGATAGGGGGCTTGGGCTGAAGCTATGTCAGAAAGGAGTGGTGCAGCTAGCCATAGGCATACTGGCAGCCCCCATAGAAATACTGTAACTGTATAAAATTCATCCAATCATTGCATGTAAATGAGCCCCCAAGGTACAGTGTTATAGGCATTGTCCAAACACTTGCTTTGCCGCACTTTGGTTGTCGGGCTTGTAGAGAGCGGTATCTACAAGTTTACATGGATTGCGTCGGCGTAGACTATTTGGTTGGATATCCGGGACCTGTGCTTAAAGAGTCATGAGGCAGTCCGCAAACCTACCTAAGATTCAAGATCAAATTAAGTTTAAATGGTATCAAGTGATTGAATTCGTGCGCTGCGCCTCAGCCCAGGCTTGGAATGAACAAATTAATTTCAACAGCGTCGCATACTGTCACAATACATCTCAATACAACATGAGTGCAAGTGGACAGCGACTAGTTCTGCAGCTGGTAACAAGATTGCACAATCAAGTTAAGCTATCATGCACACTCATGCAGCTCGTTTCAGTGCTACTGTTTTAGCACGGGTTGCAATCTCGTGGCAAAGTAGAAAGGCTTCCAAGAGTTGCCATGAGTCACCAATGGCCTTGGTCGCATTGACTCACACGCAGCCGAGCTTTGCCTTGCCTGTGAGAAGAAAGTACAATCAATTGGTGCACGAAGACGATAATACAAAATGGAAAGGCAGCTTTTGTGGTCAACTCGGAAGGAGTGCCATTGTGGCAGCTGTTGCCAGGGCAGCTCGATCCAAAGCCTCCTCTGAAGCGCTTTGGATTGAGTTGCTCGAAAAGTGCACGGAGAGCCTTGGGCAACTCAGCAAGGACTGGAAGGACTTGAGAGTTGATGCGAGCAAGGCTGACATCCAGCAACTTCAGTCTAAGGAGAGTGCTATTTTGGAGCTTCTCAAACGTTGTCCGTGGGGTGACCCAAGTGCAACTGCTTTTGTGCGAAAGTACCAAACACTTGATGCCATTACCGAAACCCACGGCCAGGTAACCCGGGCTGTGGTCGAATGCGAGCTGTCACGGCTGTCTTGGGAGTTGCGCAAAGAAAACTCAATGGAGTCGCAAGACCCACGAGCTGCACGATTTGTGTCCCTTCTGCGCAAAGTCTCGGTCCATCGCCTCCGTTTGTTTGACATCGAGAGTGCCCATGCATCATTGACTGAAGCGTGGCAAATGTGTTCCGCGATGCCGGATTTGCTGGACATCTTCGATATTAAACTGTTTGAGCACACAAGTAAACTCCTCGCAGCACGGGCTTTCAACTTCAACTCTGCAGATGAATCCCCCAAATTGAGGGAAGTCCTGCTGCGCCTTCAAGCACTCAATTATACAGAGGCCAACGTGCTTGGAGCAACTGGGGTCTCCACATTGTCATCTCTATCGATCGGTGCAACGAATCAGCAGGTAGAAGAACATTTAAGTTTATGGTGTTCTCAAGCCAATGATCCATCCGATTTGGCTTGGAGATTCATGCTGGTCGATCTTGTCCTACTATTTTTGCTTCATAAGACAGTTCCTTTGCACAAAGTTTGCGAAGCCTTGGGCCAGAATGTGTATGATGTGTTGCTTGATCATCACATATTGCGCAGGATGGCCTACGCAGAAAAACGAGGGAAAGAGCCGACGGTTTTTGCCAGCGTAGCTCTTTGGCCAGTAAGAAATCTCATAGTCGCAACAGACTTTGAAACAACTTGCTTTTCAGATGCCACTGAACCAGCTATGTATTTGTCGCAAGACTCCTTGGCTCTGCTGGCCGCTGCACCTCAAAGGCCTGTTCACCGAGTGCTTGATCTATGTTGTGGCTGCGGCATACAGGGTCTTGCAGCATTGAACAGTTATGCTGCGTTTGCTGTCTTTGTTGATATCAATCCGCGATGCCTCAGCCTTACTTCCTTCAATCTATCTCTTAATGGCTTGCGTTCAAAATGCGAATGCCTCCTTGAGAAAGATGTTCGTGAAATGCAAGGGGGTGTCTCCTCGTTGCTCGGTCGCTTTGATGTCATTTTGGCAAATCCACCTTTTATGCCAAATCCGCAAAACATTGCCACTGGAGCCAGCATTTTATTCGGCAATGGGGGCAACTATGGCGAAGACATCCTTTCCAAAGTTATCCGCTTTGCTTGTGAGCACTTGGAATCAGAAGCACAGTTCCTGTTTGTATCAAAAACACCCAACATTGAAGCATTCCCCAGCCGGCTTCGTTCATGGTTGTCAGAAGGTTTCAGGGGTAGCGCCCACATATTCCACGGTGTACCCATACGTGCTGAAGAGTATATGCCTACAGCTATCAGCAGCAGGGTGGAGCCTATCAGATACCAAGCCGCGCTGGAAGAGCAGGGCATCCACACCTTGTCCCAGGTCCTTGTGTTTATGGAATCTCACAGGGATAGTTCAGATACATTCACTATTCATAAATCTCAACAAGTCATCCAAAACTTCTGGCTCAATCGCGAAATCCTGCAACGGCTGCAGAGAAGGTTTGAGAAAAGTCAGCCCTAACAAAAAATCAAGGGTTCAATTTCAGCACAGCTGCAAAGTCATATGTTTGTCATGTTCATCAGACAGACTCATTGCCTGTCACTGCATGAATTGAGGATCACTGCATTGCATGTACATTGTCCGGCCCGAGCCAGCTGCTCTATATACCCAAAACATCTCAAAACAGCAAACGGAAGCACCTGAAACTGAAAGATTGCATTCTAGCATGTACAGAAAGTTTTGGCAAGATGCCACAAGTCAGCAAGGAACAAGAAACTCTTGTGGCAGGAACAGGTCTAAACTAGCATCAGCCAAACAGATGACAACGTGGAGTTGTTGCATGTTGATAGAAGAAACCAAGAGAATTGCAGAACCTGAGTTGTATGAAAAGACTTAGAAGCTCCAAGCAAAGCATTGGGTTTGGATGAACTGCCTTGGCCTCAAGCAGACTGTGTTTGTCATGCCAGCCTGGCATTTGCGAAGTTGAACATTTCCTTCGGATACTCCAGGGTTACAAGGATATGGATGAGGACGCCAAGGGCCCTGAGGACAGTCATTCCACATGGGCGTTCCACTTGACGAAAATACAACCAAGTAGCTCTCAACAGGACCAGGCAGCTGACAAGCAGCCAGAGCCCATCGAGGCTCGACAGGGCCCAGCGGCTGATAAGCAGCCAGAGAGCATCGAGGCTCAACAGGACCAGGCAGCTGACAAGCAGCCAGAG